TTGGTGCTATTTGTAATTTATTTTATTAATTGGCCAATCGGGAACTCTTCATTTACTCATCTTTAAATGGCGCTGGGTTAGACAAATGCTAGCTTATATAAAGTTGTGACAATAGATTTACATTTTATTTTCAACAGTCATGTATTTTTACCAACTTATCCAATTTTCAACTTCTTGTTCTCTCGCTTTCTTTAATTAACTTTTTTTCATCTATGTATGTTACTATGTGAATCCATTGTGGGCTGTAAGCAATGAGCAAATGAATTATAAAGGACGGGTGTTCTCAGCCTATGTGAGGCTTGTCCGTGGACCGATTGGATTAAAGGAAATAGACGAAATAATATGTACACAATATTTATTTATTAACAAGTTTTTGCACCACCATTTGGTAGTGAAATAGCTGAAATTTTTCCCGGAATTGATTTGTAGAGCTTTCGAATAGTTTCCAATGGGATGTTATCCCATTCTAAATCCACAACCTCTACCAACTGTTTGAATGATGTTGGAAATGTAAGTGGGCTTTTCATTCTCTGCTCTAAAAGTTCGTGTAATGATCCGATTGTACTGAAGTGAGAAGATATCTCTTTAAACCAAGGCCTGTAGGAAATAATATAATGATTGACAATCCATCGGACCATATCACATTCTTCCAAGGTTTATGATCGTGACACTACTTCTTTCGCAGCTTAGCGATGGCCTCCGTTATAAACCGCATCACAATTGCAGCTCTTGAATGAGTATTGGAAGGTGCGGAACTCGCGAAGTATTATTTTTGCCAAAACTGCGTTATTCAGTTAGTTAACTTTGGTATTCATACAACATTCTTCTTCGCCCATAACGTCTTCTTCTTCTTCTTCTTCTGTTATTCAGCAAATTAGCAACAACAACATCCTTGGGATATGTAAAAAAGGCTCATACTAAACTTTCATTCTTATGTATAATTAATATTTTTGACTAAAAACAAACTGTAAAAAGAGATAACTTATGTCCTACACGAAGCCAGAAAATAAATATCTTGCTTTTTACCGAGATCTAATAATACGAAACGCTAGCCATGAGTTGAAAAAATAAAATTTGCAATTCAGGTAAATATTCAGCTGCGGTATTAGTTTCAAAAACTCAAGCTAAGCACAACGTGCCTTTTTCCTGGCCTTTTATGATAATATGGAGGCAATACTTTATAATAGCTTTTTGACGTTTCTAGTCACAGTTAATATGTTGTAATGTTTAAAAATTACATGGAAAATACTTCTTCTTAGGTTATTAAAGCTTTAAATATGAGGGTGCTTGAGAAGGCCTAAGTAAATTACACACTTGACGTAAGATTTGCTAGAGTGTATGAAATAAATACTTTTAAAGATTAAAGGTTAAAACAATTAAATAATTACAGATATCTCGAAAAAAACATCACACTTGTGGGAGTCGAAAGTGCACATTATTTCATAAAATTAACAGGTTGTTGACCTGACAAACAATGCATACCAATGCATTCTGCATATAACGATCCATAGAAACCATATTATTTAACTGAATATTCAAGTTAAGAATACTCAAGTGTGTGAGGCTAGTAAAAGAGTGTGCCTATACAATATTGTAAAATATCGCATCTTCAATTACAAAATTTGTTTATGTGTTGTTCTTCCGCCTCTCATTTTCCTCTTGTCTCTTCCTTTTTTCTCTTCTCCTTCTAGCTTTTCGAAACCTTTCATATTACTACACGCTTGTACAGAAACTCATGCATTTAATTATTTTACCATAAAAGGCTTAGTTGGTGTTTATAAGCATCTTCTCCTGTACTTCTAAAAAAGGCAAAAAAGTTAAGTATACATATATTACATATTTTCGATAAACAGACCTGGGAACTACTCGATAAAGCATATTGAACAGGCAGTGAACATTTTTGCTTAAGACAGAAGCAGACATAAGAATAAATTCTAGTGCTTGTATGCGTTCATATTTGTATTGAAAACATTCTGTGCCCTTGCTATTAGGTGGTGTTATACTATGCAAATTAAGTACTAACACTTCTACATACATATTCATCGTTATATGTATGCATAAAAATAGCAGTCAAATGCTCGCAGTTGAGGATTTACTATAAATAACGAAAGGAGCAAGGATTCAAACGCAAGAGATTACATATGTATAGGTATATATGTATTCCTTACTTTTCTATAGATTACGTTAAAACATGCGTGACAATTTTTGAGATTTCCGTGAAACTTTAGTTGAATTTCGTCAGGTTATAGTAAATATTTTATTATTATGATATGCTTCAATAAACATTTGCAATCAACTTGTTCCTATCTAAAAAGAAATAAAAACAATGCCCATTTTTGAAATGGGGATATTTTACTTTTGTTTATGTTTTTCCTTAAATTATACTTTCTGTCATTTTCAATTATGTATCAGAAAGTATGCTTTGCATTTTTTATTTTGAATTAACGCTCAAGATTCATAAAATATCTTCTTTGACATAAAAAATTACGAAAGCACTTTATTGCTTTAGCTTTGGATACTAAACAAAAAAAAGAGAAGGGAAACCGCAAACAAACCTAGGCAACGAATCCTAAATACCTTTTACCTTAAGCAAATGAGGTGGAAAACTTTATGCCGCTGCACATGAAACTCATATCACATCCTAGGTCCAGATCTTCCAACTAGCCAAACCAATTGGCCAAGACGATCCATTTTTCAAAGTGAAGTTTTGGGATTTTCCCGTAAACTTGAGTTAATAACTAAATGAATATAGGATGAAATTACGGATTAGACGAGTTGCACACTGTTCTATATACATAAAAAGCGTTACTCTGGCAATTTTAGCGAATTTGTTGTATCTAGTAACAAATAAAAAAAAAGCCTCGCATACACGGGGATACTTATGTATGAAGAGAGTAACATGAACAGGCAACTTATGCACACGGCATAGGCATACAAATTTCAAAAGCATATAACTCACGACGCCCATGACAACATATACACCAATTCGAATAATAGAAAATAGCAGTGGTACTAGTAGAGTAGTGCTAGTAGAAGTAATAGGAGTTTGGTTATAGAAAATAGCCAACAAATGCGTTTTATATTCAATGTCTATTTATATCCATGATCATGTAGATCCAGATTTAATCATTCACACAATTATGTATAAAACGTGTTCAACAAGCTTTACAAAATATAGAAAAAGGAAAACAAAAAAGTAGTTGTATAAAAAAAGGGCAGAAAATATGAGAGCTGTTGCGCACATTTTACCGTTAACCTAAAGAGAATTTACTATGTGTATACATACACATTTATATGTATATACTAGCAATTAAAAACACTTGAAAACTAATACTAACATGCTAAACACTTCAAATCGCATACACACCCACACGCCCACGCAAACACACATCTAAACATTAAAACGAGGTTCAATGTTATTCAATGCAAAAGTTTTTTATGATTGTTCAACAAAGCAAACCGTACAACATGTATAAATATGTATGAGTACGTTAAACAACAGGTACTATTGTTTGTGGTTTTCTACTTGGTTAAGACATATTTTTTAAAAGAGAACCACGAATTTGAGAGGGAGTTATTATTTTCCCTTATCTTTCATGTGAATTACGTATAGTGTAGACAATCTTTTAAAGCTGTTGGAATCAAATAAGATTCTTGAAGATTACACTGAATATTATTGAAAGTAGATGACGTTTTATCCAAGACTTGAAGGGGCTTAAGAAAAAGTAACAGTAAAGGACATCTAGAATTTAGATTCAATTTGAAGCTGACTTTTTAACAACTAGCTTCATATGTGGGTGTCAACGACAGGGGAGAGGACGAAACAAGTGAAGAAGGTAAATAACATTTTGCATTCGTGAGAATATTAAAATTATTTACAATGTACCTTGATTTTATGTATCGAGCATTAATTCCACAAATGGCTACAATAGATGACTGGCTGTTGCGCACAAGTTTACTTAGAAGTAGTCATTAATCAGAAGTCACCTTCTGGAGTAGCAATGGCTCAGTATAATATACTCTTGAGATCAAGACAGCAAGCGAGACGAAAATTCATTTTGCGCAAAAAGTATCCGGAAATATTAAGAAAAAGTTTACAACTCAACCATAAAAATGTAATCAATCGCCTTGAAAATATGCCACACATTTCGCAGTACAACTAAATTTCGTTCTTCAGGAATTTTTCTGAGACAGATTTAAGTAAGAAGTTGATTTCTTTTAGCAGATTTTTTATTCAAATCATCCACAATCACTTTCCTGAACTTTGAATTTATATTTAGTAACAAAAATACAGTCTGATCGTACAATACAGGTAAGTACGACTCCTCAATATAATTCGTGATGTGTGGGCTCCTCTATTATCCCCATAAAGAATATATCATCCAGAATGCAATGGACGTACTTAAAAATATGATCATCTTTTCAACTCGCACATAATTTTTGAATACCAACTCTTCGATTTTTGTTATTGTTACTTTCGTTCCCAGCAGTGAAAGATCCAGCAGAATAGAGACAAATCAAATCTTACACCCTAGGGTGTTTTTAATGCTTGACACCGTTAAATTTAATTTTAACTCATTTTCAATTCGATTTCAATTCCAGTTCAATTTCTATCTAATTCCAATTCCAAATCAATTTTATCTAAATTTCAATTCAGGCTGAGTTTATTCGTCAGAAATTTTATTTGAAAATTACACATTTTACTTGTAAGAAATTTTCTTCACTTGATTCTTGAAAAAGGCTAGGAAAAAGATGTATCACGAAAAGTAAAGTTACATTACTGCCACATCCTCCAACGTGGGCTTATTATATAATCGATTTCAGTCACACATCAAATTCAATTTTCTCTTGTTTCAAATTAAACTTTTTCTTCTCTTTTTGATTTAACGCTAATTTCTTACCACCGATCATAGGAAAAAATAAAAGGACCTAAGAAATGACAACAATTTAATTAACATAATTTATAAAAAGTTTTAAAATATTTTTTTGATGTAACATAGTTATTAATCAACGTTTACGTAATAATGTAATTAAAACTACAGCAGAAACTCAAATCTATTAGTGATAATGAAAATTTATTATTTCTTATCTTTCCTAAACTTTTCCACAAACAAAGGGAAAACTGTAAAGAAGTATGTTTTCGAATCCCACATTTCATAATCTTTTCATATGTTGCTCTTGTGAAACCTGATAATGACTGTGAAACTCATGTTACATTTGTTTCTTTTTAACCTAACATAGAAAATATATTAGATTTTTCAAAATGTTTGTAATGTGTCGAAACACTGTTCGTGATAGCCATAAATTGTATAAATTCTTAAATAGAGCGAATAATAAAATCCACTCAGCCGTGTTTGTTTGTCATCTGAAATTACGATGAAGACTGTAAAAAAATTTTTCTGTAAAAAAAAGGCTACAAAGGTTTAAAACATAATCGTCAGCCGAGTTTAAATTGAACTAAATGGAGAAAATGGAACCGAAAAGTTAACAATTAATTTATCGCCGCACTCCACTAATCCCGGAAGGGCTCAGACGAGACGGAATCTCCTTCACGATGTATTCTGTGACACCGTTGTCCGTCCCGTCCTGGTTATTCTTCCCAAGCCAAAAATTTAATCTTTATATTAATTAAAAACACGTTCAATCTATTTTATGAAGCTCTTTGCCCAAAAATTTTTCCATTACGTTTTCACATCTGTTTTTCGAAGGTATTATCCATATATTTTAATAAATACATGATTACTGCACGTTATATGCATAAGCAGTGTTACTATATATCATATATAGATATGCATAATATATTTTACATATTATATTTGTTTCAGTTCCATTATGTATTTTCGAACAGTAAGAAAAATATGTACATTGTAGGCATCAAGAAATCCGATCACAGCTGAATACAAGTTTTATCTTATTTTGTTGTAGTGTAGTAAAGTGCTCTTCCAAAGAAGTATTATTTTGAACATATAAACGCACGCATGCAAGAGCCAAGCAAACCGGAAATCATTAGAGTCAAATAACACTACAATTACTTTTATAGTCAATGAATATGAATATGCAATACATTCCAGTTTATAAACCGAATATAATGGAACCTAAATAACTATTTCACACCACAGAGAGCGTTATTATTTTTTAAATTAAAATATGTGTATTTCAAACATTTTGAAGAATTTTTCTTATTATGTTTCATTTTCTTTTAGTTTTAAAAAATAATATTCTTGTTTTTAATAAGGTGAAAAAAACCCTCCATTTTCTTAGAAATTGGATAAGTGAAAAATGTCATTTTAATTTTTATTTTTTTTATTCTAAGGAAATTCAACAATGCGTAGACGTCTGTTTAACTTCCCTTTTTACTTAGCACCCTAAGAGCTGGGTATGTATTCATTTTGTCAAAATTCTTGCAATGACCAGAAGAAAGACAAAGGATCGATAAGTTTGAGATAAAGACTAAGATATCGGCTTCAAATTTAGAAAAGAAAAATTGAAAATTCTTTCAAAGAAATTGATATTGCAAATGAACTAAATGGATCTAAGGACATATCTTGAATTTTTTGCTTCTTACTCATAAGCTACGAGAGATAATTTTCACATATGTTCTACAGTAACTGTAGAAAAATATAATAAAATTCGATCTCCGCTGCACAATATTAACAAGCATCGATATTTAGAGCTATTTTTGTTTTCTTTTTTTAATAATGCATTTCTTTAATAGAATTTTGCTGCACATTCGAAGCGAAAGCTTTTCCAGTTTCTTCTGTAAATAGTGGAAAAGCAATGGCTTAGTTCTTCTTCTTCTATGGTTACTTTTAAAACGAACAGATTTTAAATTAGCACGAAATTAAGTGCCAACAAGTGCATATTCGTCTACTCCTTTAATGTCTAAAAATTGCGATTACTATAATATTTATAAATATCTAAGTAAAAGTAAAAGTCAATAACCAATAAATAAGTTTTTTCATAGTTTTCCGAAGAAAAATTTTCAGGCTTCAAAACTGATAAGTCTGAAAAATCACATAAGTGACCGTTTGCAAAAAACAGTTCGTTTACAGATTGAGTTTTAAATACGTGTCAGTGCGTAGCTTAGAAAACGTTGAAGATAGATACACGAGCTGCGTTTAGAAAAAACAGTGATTTTCAACTTTCATGGGCTACGTACATTCGATATTGGAATTTTTTTTTTTTTTTTTTTGTTATGTTGGTACATATATCCTCAACGTATGCTCACATTACCAGTCATTGGCATTTTTAGTTTATTTTTGATAGATAAAAAGGTTAGACGTGCTTTGGTGGGATTGGATTTTTTGCCATCGAAAAAAATGGATCAAAGAATTTGTATTAAATTTTCTGTAAAAAATAAAATTAACTCCTCTACCTCGTTTAAAATGGTGACTATGACTTTTGTCGACTCTACTGTGAGCAAAAAGAAAGCCTATAAATGGCACAAGCTCTTCACGGAAAGCTGAGAAGATGTTCGTGGCGACGCACGCCCTGGAGGCCACAGCACGTCAACAACCGATGACAACGCTGAACTAGTGAAGAACGTTGTAATGGAAAATCGTTGTATCACTATTAGAGGACTTGCTGTGGACGTCGGCATATCGATTGGCTCAAGTCATTCAATTTTTTCAGATGTTTTAGGCAAGACGTGATAATGCGCCAGCTCATCCGTCATTGCTTTTTCTTATTTTTTTCCCCAAAAGGGACACCGTAACTATGCCCCAGCCAGTCTGTGTTTTGCCACGACTAATGATATAAAGACTGCGTCGCTGGAAGAGCTGCAGCCCATATCCCAAAATCGCATAACAGAGGCGCCTCGGGGGTCAGAAAAAACGCTGGTGCAAGAGTATTATATCTAAGGGGATTACTTTCGAAGGGGAAGGATATTGATGAATAAATAAATATCTTCCGAGAGAAATGAAAATGAGCTTTTGTGATCAGGCTTCGTATAACATGACTACATTATCCTCTACTAAGTAAGCGCAGAATTCATTATTCGAAGAAGGAAATGAATCATTAATCCCTAATAGTTACTTATGAATATAGACAGACTTTACAAAAAAATAAACCAAAGGTTGTTCTTGTTGGTGTCGTCACCTTATTCAAAGATTTTCTTCTTTCATTATGTACGTTTTTACTAATTATTCCACTTACTGTTGATCGGACCTATTTTAATCTAATAGCTGCATTTGCAAGCATTTTCGTAGTACAGGCATGTATGAATGTATGAATGAAAAGATTATTTTACGAACTACTGCAAGAGATTGATTCACTTTCCTTATTTTTACCAATTTTATGCAAAACTACAAACAGATTTAGTTCCTCGACTTGGCACAATCTTCGAAAAGTCATCGTAATTTTAAAAGAGTGCAAGCAGGCAGCATTCGTCTGATATCGCGACGACCAAATTCGTACACATATGAAATATACAAATAAGTGCACACGAGCTTATTTAAACTAAAAGCTATTATTTCAAGATAACGGTGAAATATTTATATATTTATTCTAAGTTTTGTTATCGCTAGCGCTGCACGTTTTCATCATCTTTCGGACAAAATATGAACATTGTACCGTAGGGACGCTAACAAGGTCAATTTTTTGGATCTTCATAAAAACGGAAGCAATGGTCAAACCGACAAAAACTTATTGACTGAGGAAGATGTTAATCAGAGGAAGGGAGGTCTGGTGAATACAAATACAAATTCAGTGCTGCTAACCGTTCCCGTAAAAATTTTACAACATGAGCGTTCGCATGCTATGATGTATTTTCATACATTCCCTTTAAGGATACAAGTAATTACATAATTTTTTCTTAGTAGCGTTGCTGACTTGTGGTTGAGCTGGAGTTGCTCGCAGAGCGCTTCATCCACCTAATTGTCTTAAATGAGGCTTTACTGGCGATGTTAATTGTTGCCCTACCTACACCATGATTTTCTGCATTTGTGTCGTGGCCACTTGCCGTCATTTGCTTAAAATCACCGTACACATTTTGTACAAAACCTGTCCAGACATTTTTTTGTATAGAAATCTTCTTATTTAAACGCAGGCAATTAGTCGGGAAAAATTGGTAAACAAGTCTGGCGCATCTTCCAATTTGCAAACATATTTTTATATTTATCCGGGATTGCGATTAGAATAAATTCGTACCCTCTTGAAACATACCAAATGAACATAAGTAAAAGGTAAGAGAAAACTGTAAATGAAATTAATCCAAACCGTCAATTAAATTAAGGCAAACCACAAACGTAAATGCAAGAATAGTTTATTCCTTCACCAGAATATGTAAATTTTTAATTTTACCATAAAAGTGGAATATACAAAGAATGTAACTCTTTTAAAGAGTTTTAAAATATATAGCCTCCAATAATGTAAACAATTTTCAATCACAAATATTACCAAAAGTATGTTACGAAAAGTTTTACAATTCTATTTAAAAATATCAATTGATATCAAGGAGAAATAAAATTGCTGTAATAATAGATATTCTTTGCATATTTGTATTTATTTAAGCTTATTAAAGATTGTAAATATTGTCCTATGCTTATCTAATGGGACGTAAACATGTTTACATACACATGCGCCTATGATTATGTCATAGTGCAGACAAATTAATGCTTGATTCAAATGTTTAGACCTAAGCTAAGTCATTAGGTGAAACAGAAGCCAACATTCTCCAATACAATGAAATATGAGAATTAAATGAAATTTAAACGAGTTAAGAGATGGGAGTAGCGATAGACTTTCTTATACCTTTAAAGTAAAATAAATAATTCTCAGTAAAAACGGTGACTATTGGACTAAATGAAATAAGGAAGCTGTATTCGTTTTAAAGCGAAATGCCAATACTGTCTGCGATAGGTACAGAATACCTCGGTCGATTATGTTAAAAACGCAAGTTTTATTTCCTGTATTACAGATTTTATTCAATAAAAATCTATTGAAAACTTCCAAATTTTCCTAGAATACGAGGTTAGTACTCAATTTAACATATAGATGTCACCCTTAGTTTGAAAATCTTATAAAACGTCAGTTTGAAATTCGCAGACACTATGTTGTTCAATA